GCCACTATTTGCCTCCGTTCAAAGCTGGCTCTCTATGTATGCTGGTTGCACAGTGGGCTCTGAGGTGAGACCCACCTACCTAGCAGCTGCATTTGAATGGAAATGAGTGACTTTCATGGGTTTGAACTGGGAAGGTCTGAGAGTCCCAAAGAGCTGGCAACCCAAACAGCAGAACTAACATAAAAAGAAAGACAGGTCATCCATTTGACTTCACCTCAAAAGCAGAAGGAAAAACAAAATTCACTTGAGGGCGCTTTAAAGGTGAGTTCCTTCTGGAAAAAGTCTGTTTTCTGAGAGCTCCCTCAGCTGCAATGCTTCTTATTCAAGAATACTCCAACACAAGCAGGGTTACAAATAAGAAAATGGTTAAGAGGGAGAGTGAAAATCTAAACAATGATTTGCATCTTGAGACGGCTGAAATCTCTAAAGATTTGTTTGGGAATGGGAGCCAGAAATGGATAGCAGACACTAAGAATGCATTGAACTGACAAGCCTCATTTGAGTTTCTCTTGAGGAAGAAGACTGGTTTTAAGAACATATTTCCATCAAGAAGCCCAGGACAAGATGAACATAAAGAAATAACCTGCACACTGTGTTTAAAATAGTCAAGCACAGACGTTTGTAATTTTCAGATGTACCTATTTCAGTGAGAACATGCTTTCTGGGTGAGAGACCCAACCCAAGTCTGTCTGAAGCCAGAGTAGCTGGAAAGACCAGATACCAAGCACTGACTGGCTGGAACTTGGCTTCTTGATACTATCAGCTACTTCACCCTGAATCTGAACTACTTTCTGTTTCAACCTCGTAATTTTCTTCCTGTAGTTCAGACTCCCCACTTTGATTAAGATAGTTTTAGTGGTTGCTTGAGGTGAGGTCCCAGAGCTCATGTGAGGAGTGACAGGTGTTCAGAGATCCTGAGGCTATGGCCAGCCACGCCACCCAGAAGAAAGTGCTACCCAGTAACTGCCAAGGTCCCAGTGAAGGCTCAGGTTGTGGTTGCCAGTGAAGTTGAGCACCAAGAGGACCCATAGTTCTTCCCAGGGCCAACCCTTCCTTGCACAGTGGCAGACACCTTTCCCCAGCCTGCAACTCTCCAGGGAATGGCAGCCACGAAAGCAATCCTCTGACAGCTCCTCCTGAGATCAATCCAGGGAATAAAATACAGAAAACATTGGAAACATTCCAAGTGGACATTGAGATGGTTCTTCAAGGAAAGAGAGTTTCAAAATGAACATCAATGTTTCTGTCAAGAGCATTCAGGAATTTGAGCATATTTGTAAACCCCAGCAAAAGCAAAGGGTCTGTATACTCTTAGCAGCTTCTGACTGCATCAGGATGGGAAATGGAAGGGTAGAGTCAAGGAACAAGAAGCAATCCTAGCCAGTATATTCAACAGCTACAAAAGGCTTTTCAACAATCAAGAATGGTGCATAGCTGCAGAATGAATGCATTCAAGATTTTATTTGAGGAATTACTGAACAGGGTTGAGGAACTGGAGAATCATGGAAATCGTTCTCCTGGTATTTAGAAAAGAAATGGTTGTGTTGCAAGCAGAACTTACGAAGCAAATTTATCAAGTGGTGGTCAGTGCTAAGCTTTCTCTCCACTCCCTGCTGCTCCAAATGATCATAGAAGTTCCTGAGTAGTGATGATGTACTCATCAAACTAGCTACATGAAACTAACATGGCTTAACAATGCTAGGTTAAATTAGTGCAAGTTCTTTGTGTACTCGTGTGTTAAAGGCAAGGTCCTCTCTCTGTTAAACCCCAAGAAAGCGTTATGAAGTTATGTGAGTAGCAGCTGTTTTGGAGGTTCCTGCCCCCTGGGAGCAATGGTGCCTTTTTCCCCCCCATCACTGTCGTGGAAAGTTTAGCAATAGAGGATTTAACTTTACGATTGTTTTAGTGATTCAGCTGAAAGGCCCCAATTATTTTTCTTTGCCAATTCCTGGCTAAAGGAGAACAGTGGTAAATAAGTCATAGAGATACCAAGTCTAGAATTTGCAGTTAAGCACCCTTGAGCTGCTGGTAATCAGGCAAATGTACAGGTGTTATATATATCCTGGCCATTTCTACAGTCCCTCTGAAAATGAGCAGGTAGCTTTGGGAGAAGGGGAGGAAAGCTGGTCTCCTATCCCATTTTGGTGATGCGCACCTTAGAGAATTGTTTAGGTTAGCGATCTCTCAGCTCATCTAGATTACACCTACCTTCCTGTTGACTTGGGTTCATCCCGTTCGGGGTATGTAGTCTTAAGATATGTCTGTAAACTTGTTGTTAGTGCTCCATTCAAAATGGGAGGGTGGCGGTGGTAGTGGCTGTGGTGTAATTCCTCTCTCCTCAAGTATAGGCTGGGTTTAGTGGCTTGCTGCCTAAGGCCAGAAAATGAAGTGGTGGTGTGTGCTTTTGGACTACACCATAAAAGGCACTGCAGTTTTCTCTTTGCCCTGCCACCTCTCTGGGAGCAGTGGCTTGGGGAAAGCCAGAGACAGTGGGGTGAGTACACCCATCCTACCCTATGGAGAGACCCACATGGGGAGAAGTTGGGGCATCCTGCCAACAGTTACAAAGAGGGAGTGCAGCCACAGATTCTCCAGATGGCTACGGCACCTGCCCACATCTTGATTACAACTCAACGAGACCCTGTGCAGCAACCATCCTGGGAGGCTGTTTTCCAATCCCTGACCTACAGAAACTGGCAGATAATGTTTGTTATTTTAATATACTGAACTCAGGAGGGGTTGGTGGTGGTAATTTGTTAGGAGGCAATAAATAATACAGGTAGGACACATTCTTGGCTTGGAAGCTCAATACCTAGATGCCAGCTTCTCTCTACCTGTGCTCCTGAGAATGCTGCACCCATCTGAAGTGGATGTGGGAAGTGATGACCCACATTATTAAGGCAGAGCCCTGACAAAATATCTTGCTGCTGGAATTCAGAGGGAGGCCACTTCCCAGTAAACTGTCCCCAGAAGTACAGAAACAGTTTTTTCATGAAAAGAAAAGTATGCATACTGGGTTGTTGGAAAAGTCATGATGTATTTTTCCTATGTTTCTGAAAGGTCAGTTATTTATATAAAGAACAAGATCAATCCATGATATACTGCCCTTTTTGTCCAAAACCTTCTACCATCTTTCAGTGAGTTTCATAATTCCTTGTTCATAGAAGGACCTGTCTTTATTGGTGAAAAACAGAACAGGGTGCTGATTTATACCCTCATCTGAATTGAACATTGTACCATGCAAGGAGTTTTGAAGAGAGCAAAACAAGTGGAAGTCTGACAGCACCAGCACAAGGTCAGGTGAGTATGATGGGTATGTTAACACATCCCATCTAAGCTCTAATCATTTTTGACAGGTGATCAAACTTGTGTGTGATCTTGTCTTATCATGATGGATTCGAACAGACGCTGTGGGTCTGTCTCGTCTAGCATTGGCAGCTGGCAGGCAGCCTTGCAGATCTTAGCCAGAGTAAATTTGACTCTCCGCACCTCACGTTTGTTCCGAAGCCTATCCTTGCCGATCAGCTTCAGCTCTTGGTCGAGGTGAGATTTCTCAATAGGTCTTTGTGGGGTCATATAGGTCTTGCGACAAACCCAGCTCTGGGCTACTAGCATGTTGGTTCCCCTTGCCTGTCTGAGCCTACACCTACCCAAACCCCGGCACTGAGAAAGAGCTAAACAATCCACTTGTCATCATCAGTTATCAGTCGCTTTAAAAAAGGATCGTTTTCTCATGTTTAACGAGCACATCACAGATGTTTATACACACCGTCAAATGAACTTTGGTTTCATGAGGAAGCCAAATATCAAGCTTGTTTACATATCCCGGCTTCTTCAGGTGGTTGCAAACGCCTGAATGACGGATGTTCAATGTTTCTGCCATCTCTTGTGTCGCATCACATGGATTTGACTAGATCAATGCCTTTATTTTATTGTCATCAACCTCCTCCCTGACCAAGGAGTGTCACTGAGATAAAAATCACCAACACAGAAATTTGTGAACCATTGTTGGCACTGACGTTCTTGTAGAGCATCATCACCGTAAGTTTTCCATAAGCCTGACTTGAATCTTCCCTTCACAGAAGTAAAACCGTAAAATATGGTGAAAATGCAGAGTTTGGTCTTTCATCTTCAACTTGTAAAATGTCTAAAAATCAGCCAAATCACTCAATTTTTTTTAGAATGAAGCTAGAACTGTCAGCTGTCAAATGACGTAGCAGTAACACATATACGAATGACTCTAGGACTTCCAAAAATGAACTAGTGCCATCTGTTGCAAAAATGTGTCATGCCTTTGCCGACAACCCAATAAATGGTCACTAAGAACCACGTCACTAAAATGGTAACCTACCCTCCCCAAGAAAATGCCAAGATACATTATTCATTTAGGGCTTCACCTGTGAGGTCTCTTCCAAATGCTCAGAGGTAAATCACCTACTGGACTCTGGCTTGCTGTGAAAACAATTCTATGAGGTAACAGCAGATCTTGGAAGTTTCTCTTTTGCCATGTGACATTATTTTTAAAACTCTGATTTATGGAGGTCAGAGTCTCAGTACTGGTGGCCTCCAGGAAAGAACTGTACCAAGCAGTAGTCTCAGTAGAGGGGTGATGGATCAGGCAGCTGCTGTACCTAACAGCTGAGACACCTGAGAAATACTAGAACACATCCTCCTGTTAGGAGGCGTGCACAGATTCCCCAAGATGACAGGAAAGTAGACATTTTGATACTACTCAAGCTCTTCTGTTTAAAATCCACCCCCTACTGTTCCAGTGAGGGGGTCAAGTTCTCATCCACACAATAAAGATCAAGGAGTATTCTCTTCTGTTCACTGATTGACTACCTGCTGGTTGGAGTCAGGTTCCCAGGATGCCCAGGCCATATACAAAGACTAGAAAAGCATCATTCCCCAAGAATCAAGCTCCCCAGGGTACAAAGAAGTCCTAAGGTCCTGAGCAAGCATCTATGCAAATTAGAGCACAACTTAACTTTTTCCAAGAGTACGTAAAGCGAAATTTGGAGTTTAATTAAAATCAGAACAGGGGTACATTAAACAAACAAACAAAGAATAGTTTTGATTATCAATTTTTGAGACTCACAGCATTCCCAAAACACTGGAGATCCAGCTTATTCCTGAGAGACATCAACCATCAAAAAAGGTTTTCACTCTTTGAACTATTCACATTTTATAGCAAAAACAGAACAAAGTTCCACAGATATCCTTCCTCTCTTCTTTCTAAAATGTATTCACAAACCAGGTCTTATCATAGTTCAAAAGAAAAACAAACAGCTTTCTTTCTCAGCCAGTTGGCCTGTTACTCTCACCTCGGGTTCTGATCTCTTAGTAAGAGGGTTCAGGGCCTCAAATCCAATCAGAAATTCCCATGATACAGTTACGACTTTGTCTACAAGGGAGTGGATGCATTCATTCATGTGGCGAGTCACTCTCCTGGAATTACTGTGCCAGTCAATAGTCCCTGGAGACTGGGATGGAGAAGAGGGAATATGAAAAAGCAAAGGGGTAATGGAGAAGAATGAACAACCCATAGCAAGGCAAATGGTCCAGTTTTACAAATCACCCACTATAGACTCCAAACACACACACCCAGATGAATGGGGGAAGGACAGAGCTCAGAAGGGACTGGGGGAGACAAGAATAGTGACACAGAACAGACTCATCTATGAACAGTTCTCATCTTCCGAACACTGGAAGATGTTTAAAAAGTTGCTGTTCAAAATTGTACTGAAAACATATCTAAAAATAGGTCTGTAGTCTTTAAAAATAAAAGGCCACTCCTCAGAGGAGTGACAGATATTATCAGATACCAACGTTTGAAGTATCTTTGCTGTATATTTGAAAAATGGCCTGGCAGAGAACAGGGAAAGAAAAGGAGGAGATGGAGGGAGGCAGGAAAGAAAAGAAAGGGAAAATTCAGAGTGCAATGGGGAAGGCAAGAAAACTGGGAGGAACAGATTTTTAACTCCATGCTTATCTATCCCAGCAGCCAAATAAACCAGATCCACAAAGGAAAAAAAATGTAGTTCTTGTCTAAGAACACTCTGAAAGTCCATTTTAGACAAAAAATAAGAAACTGTAATGGGAGACAACAAATAGCATGTGTTCATGGGATTAGGAAAAAAAAATACTGAGACTGGGTGCTCAAATGGGCCCGTGTCCCACAGAGGTCATTTTTAGGCATTATTTGGCAGATACTATGCTCCAGCCTCATCTAGCAAGCGAAGGCCTAAGTGCCCCTGTTACTTGGTATGGATCTGCCCCAGGAGCACACAAAATCACTTGGTATCTCAGAGTACAGGAGGACTCTGCCAGCAACAGATGTGAGTAGGGAGAAATGGAAAAGCAATGAATAGCTGGTTACTGAGGGCTCCCTTCTTTGCAGAGAACTTAAAAATACCTGCACAAACGCGCTAAGTGAAGGAAGGGGAAGATGAATGCTATTATTAAAAACAGAAGACTTTCCTCCCAGAGGAAAAGGGGAAGCAAACCTCAAAATGGTATCATGGGGTCATGCTACTAGAGTTGCATAAACGGTGCTCTGTCCCTGAGGACAGACACCGCAAGGTAAAAGGGAAAGCAGCGTTCTGTCATTTCCCCCAGATGGTTTTAAAGACCCTGAATGTGGGCTCTTGCAGCACTGAACTATGGGGGAGATACGAGACAAGGAGAGCAGAGGGTAAGGAACGAAAATAACGTTGACTGCACCGAACCTCTGCCTCCCTTCCCCAGCCTTGCCAGCCAGGCGCCTGCTGTAGGTTAACGTTTGATTTGAGAAACATTTGAGGGGTGTGGTTCTCAATAGAAAAATGACCAGGAAAGTCAGTTTGTTTTCCTCTACAGGCTGCTTAGCTTTGCAGAAATACACCAAGGCCCTTCAATCAATCTGTCTAACAGGGAAGGGGACAGGAGAAAGGGGTTTGATGAAGCTCAGCTTCCCATCATTTGGCACCCGGAGGAAGGGGGGCGGTGGAGACTGCAATGGGTACTACAGGTACGGCCTCTTCTGTCTTCACTGTTGATCCTATTGGCCAAATCAGGTGCACACAGGGTCGAGCACTGCTGCTTTTCTTCTAACCCTTGCAGGAGAGTCAGATGTCCATCTCAAACTGAGCATCATCCCCTAGTCAGGATGAACAAAGGAAAAGTTCAGCACAAAAAGGAAAAGTAGAACAGTTTTAGCTGTCACTCCCTCTATACAACAACCAGAAAGCCATTCACATGTCCCACTCTCTGATGACTTAAAACAATTATTCTGCTTTGCTTTGGATGGTCTTTTTAACCTGAAGAAAGAAGGGCAGTCGCATCACTTTTTGGGAAGAAAAAAAAAAAGAACACAAATAATACTTCCCTAGTGTCTCTTTGTCTACAGGTTGACCCGAGCAGATCCTGGGGAGCTCTTTGCCATCTCTCAGTTGTGCAAATTCTTCCAGAGGTTTTGAATGTTGTTTCTTCTCTAAAGCAACACTGTCTACTAAAAATGTATCTGGAATTTGAGAGAGCAGAACACTGGCTCCAGACTAGGGGTCCAGGTACGACCCCTGAGGTATATTTTAGGTGCTGGCCATTTCCAACTCATGACTTGACTTCTACGGAGATAAAGGGGGCAAATGTGTGTGAATGTATGTAGGGAGGATATTTATGTAAATTTGGGGTCTTCTGAAAAGTCATGACCCATCTTTGCATAGAAAAATACATCTTGACTTTTCTGGCAACCCAATACTCTAGGCAGTTCTAGAAAACAGAGAAAACAAAGCATATGGCTCTTCCCCACACCATAAAAACGGCATTCTTCTTATAGAAAAGAATTATTACCTGAAAATGATGAAAATGAGGGATATGAAATCTTATTTCTGTGTGTGTGTGTGTGTGTGTGTGTATGTATGTGTGTGTGTGTGATCCCTAGTCCAGTAAATCCTTACAGCAAGGTTCAAAGAGTTATCTTGAGATTTACCATTCCCTGATTTTGGTTTCCCCCGCTAATTACATCAGGTTTATGATTTTGAACTCAGGGTTTCCTGAGCATTTCAATAATCCTTCAGTGGGGGAGGGGAAACCTTAGAGACATGTAACTGAATCAGCACCCTACAACTGACTGACATTCAAATTCCCAGAGCCAACCTCTTCCTCAACACCGGAATTCTCTTACCAACTGCATGCTTCCTGTCATGATTGTTCAAGTTGTTCAAATTGTTAACTTCTACTTTGGAGTCTTCAATTAAGGTGCCAGGGCTAGTGACTCCTGGGATATTGGGCAGATGGCAGGGTGGGGTCTGAGCCATGGGAGAATTGCGACGATCCAACAGAAACTTTCGATCATAAATGATTCGGGTTCCTGGAAATAAGGGTTAAAAAGAGTTTGAAAGAAATTGAGAGGCTATCAACAGATAATATTATTCAGGAGCTTAGTTTAAATCCCATCTAATGCTAACCCTTAAGAATTTTACAATTCAGGGGCTGGCAGGTGGCATGGTGGTTAAGGGCACTCAAATCTCACATGGCCAACCATGGTTTGAGTCCTGGACCTGAGAGCTTGCTTGCTTTCTCTCTCGTGTGTGCTCTGCCTCTCTGCAGTCTAAACAAATATAAAACTAAATAGTTAAATAAAATAATTCTTTTTTTTGGGAGAGGTTTTTGCTCTAGGGGGCATGCACTCGCCAGACAGAGAGAGACAGAGAGACAGAAAGCAAGAAATCATCCCCCAGGGGGGATGGCCACGCCGCAATCCCTTCTCCTCCATTCTCCTCTCGGGATCTTGGGCACGCACGCACACGCACCCGGCGTGAGTTTAAGCCACCGGGTCCGGGACTCGAACCACGGTCGACTACATGGGAGTCCAGTGACATAGCCATTACGCTAACTGCTGGTCCCAATAAAATTTTACAGTTCAAACCAAAAAGGTAAACTCTAGCCTCCCTGCCTGTAAACAGGTTCCTCTATCATCTGGAATGCCCCTTCTCTCTCTTCTGTCAGAGAAATGACTGTTCATCCTTCAGGACTCAGCTCCATTAGCGCTTTGTTTACAAAGCCCAGCTCCCCAACCCCTGCATATATCTTACTCAACACACATCACCTGCTACAGGTCTCCTGTTTATGATGCCTACCTGTGCCTCTCTAGAGACCTTAAGCTTCTTCTTTCTTAAATTTTTAAAAAAATTTTTTTTTTTTCGAGAGGTTTTTGCTATAGGGCACATGCACTCACCAGACAGAGAGACAGAAAGCAAAAAATCACCCCTCGGGGAGATAACCATGGTGCAATCCTTTCTCCTCCATTCTCTCAGGATCTTAGGCAGGCACGCACACACACGCACCCGGCCTGAGTTTAAGCCACCAGGTCTGGGACTCGAACCGCGCGGTCAACTACATGGGAATCCAGTGACATCGTCATTACGCCAACCGCTGTTCCCAAGAGTACTTGAGCTTCTTAAACCAGGGCCATCTTATTTATATCTGACCTAAATCCTAACATTCAGATATTCAAAAACAAATTTGTTTTAATGAAAAAGTAAACAAGTATGTGAAAGAATAGACAGACATCTTTCAGTTAAAAGCTTTCCAAAGAAGCACTGCAAAGGACATTCTTTCTGGACAGAGCTGTAGCAGAAGTTAGAACTGGAGGCAGCTCTCTATTCTATGAAACAATCTGCTTACCAGTAAGTGGTCCCTGAATGTTTAAAAAAATCACTAAAGTTCTAAAGCGTATACTTTACCTGATAAATGGTAACAAAAACCTGCTGCTTAAAAATGGCCAAGAGGTACATTAAATGGTGCTCAAATTACCAATTAGAGAAACGTAAATCAAAACTACAATGAGCTGGGACCAGCAGTTAGTGTAATGGCTATGTCACTGGACTTCCACGTAGTCAACCATGGTTCATGTCCCGAACCAGTGGCTTAAAACTCACACCGGGGGAAATAGCAGTTAGCGTAATGGCTATGTCGCTGGACTCCCACGTAGTCGACCGCGGTTCGCGTCCCGGACCCGGTGGCTTGAAACTCACGCCGGGCGCGTGTGCGTGCGTGCCCAAGATCCTGAGAGGAGAATGGAGAAGAAGGGATTGCGGTGTAGCCATCCCACCTGGGGGGGGATTTCTCCCTTTCTGCC